ATTGATTTACCGATTACTTTCTCGAACGGGCATAGTTATCTGTCGACCTTTAGAAAGCTAGCATGAACAAATTCAAATTCCTTGAATGGATTTTAACCAACTTTCCTTACAAGCATGTTATAAGATAATCAGCTTTGCTATCTGATCGCCGCACTTTCAAACGAAAATGCTCTTCCTTTCATACATATACTTTCATATAATACATTTACGAACAATTTCTTGCTATACTTCTATGTCGCCAATAACATATCAGTTTGTTTATTTTGAAGAAACAATGTCGAGCTATTATATTCACCGGCTCGTCATTATCGTCGGCGCCGTGCAAAATATTTGATGTAGACCATTACACATGCCGTTTTGACAATATTGATACAAAACTTGCACTTTCCAGTACCGTCCATGAACAGGCTCAATCGAGCCTGCAACATGTTCAATTGTGTTGTGTTGGACTTTCTTTAGGAATTCTGCTTTTCTTTATTTTGAGAAACTTAATACTTCTTTGCCTTTTTTGACAAAGTACAATTGTAAAACAAGTGACCTTATTCTTAAAGCGATATTCTTGAAATATACTATTTCTTACTTGCATTTGTATCGCAATTGTTCTTTAAGTACTATTACAGGTTATTAACATGAAACTTGGAAAATTTGATTATCATGACATGATGAAATATTAAATCAAGGGTTATTTCTATGAAAGAAACTTTGAAGGCTATGCCCTTTTTCACTTAGAAATTTTGTTACAATTGGTTATTGATAGACTTTTTGAAATTATGATGCTCTTTTTCACTTAAATTAATTAACACGTTTTACAAGTATAAATATCTTGGACATTCACTACACAGTTATTCGCTTTGTTTAAGAAATGAAGTGCATAACAGCAACATCACCTTAATACTATCAATTTCCATCACCCTTAAAAATGCCAGTATTTGCACGCATTGGATGTACTTGTTAGCATTCATAGTGACAAAAATATTTATTTTCATTGTGTTATTTACATCATACAAACTATTTAAATTATCGCAAATACGCATATAAATAATTCTACATTTATTAGAAATAAGTTATTATACACAAATTAAAAACATTTATTTTTTTTACAAAAATGGTATATTAAAAACGCAGGAAATAATTCAATATTAAACTTATGTAATCTTGTTTTAACATGTTTCATACTTTTGCTTACTAATTTATCGTTTTCAAATATTTATAGATTACCGAAAGTGTGAAGGAAATGAATATACCTGTACAAATAAACAATGCATTCCAGCAGAGAAAAAGTGCAATGCTATAATTGACTGTGTAGATTATAGTGATGAAATGAATTGTGGTTTGTATAAGACTTATAATTACAGTTTAACGTCTTTGTAGTAAATTATATTATATGAAGCAATTCAGAAAAGATCAAACATATAAGATATAACATAAAAGAATAAAACAAGAACAATGAGCAATAATTTTTGCAATAAAAATCCATTTATACTTCAAATATCAAATTATAATAATGAATTATAATTGTTTAAGTAACATTTCTTTCGAAGATTGTATGCCCAAATTTATAAACCTCAATAATTTTAGTCTTTATAATCTGTAGACATTATAACAGTAATATGAAATCAATCATTTCATATTATAAAAAATATATAAGCTAATATAATCAGATTCAACTCAAATAAAACAATGCACAGATACTTTTGTCAACAGAAAAGTAATGGTATGTTATTAACGAATACTTCTTAATAGGTGGTTCATTATACATGTAGTTTTTAAATTAATGATTATACGTTAATAAAATGCATGTAAAACAGTGAACATTGCTAATTAATCTGCCTACCCAAAATACTGCTGTAATCAACACTTTGCAGTACTATTCTTTAAAGCTTTCCATATTATCCATTTTACATTACTATTCTTTAAAGCGTTCCATATTATCGGGAACAATCTCTTAAGGCATGCATTCAAAATCGTTTATACAAGGAGTGCTTTTATTATTTTTATTACTTTTTAATTTTTTTAATAAGAAAGACATGTTCGCTTTATAATTCAAGACTCCTGCAAAAAGTCGTTTCTCTGTACTGATGAATCCAAATGCATCCTTCATCGACTGACATCTGATCGCTACCCAGACTGTAAGGATAGCCGTGATGAAAAGCTTTGCAATCGATATATTATTAGATGCATTGACTTCAGTCGTGAATATCTTTGGGCAGGAAAAGTCTTATCACGTGAGTAGATTTCTTAATTAAACATATTGAAGTAAAGTGAAATATTTTATTCTATAGTAAAAACAAATAGATGGTCATGGCGGATATTACATAATTATTTTACAACACATAAGAAAAGTGGTATACAATTTATAAATTAGCATTCAATATCAAAATGACAACAACATTAAGTAGTTTATCCATATCTTAATTGATTGTTCTGATACGTTAAATAAGCATTCATCCAACACTATGCTTGTTTTCATGAAGTGTTTTAAAGTTGTTTTACTTTATTGCTTTCCCGCCAAAAAGATATAACGTCGGCCAATACCGAAGAAAATTGGTTATTTCCGGACCTTATTCAAAATCCTTTATTGCTATGCACTATATTCTGTTATAAACGTTAAAAATTATTGAATAACGAACATTGAGAAAATAATGTTCCGAATATGGCCGATTTTACAATTTTAGGCGGGAAGGCATTACAGTAAGACTACCTTAAAAATTTTAAGAAAGTAGAATTATGCCAAGTGACTAAAGGAAGGAGTTTAACATTGATAAAAGAACAACAAAAAAAACACTACCCAAAACAACAAACAAATAACAAAATATAGGTCAGAATATGCAAAGATATCCTTTATTGCGTTATTAATGCAGTGAAACTATTTTAATTAACACTAAAAAAACCAATTATTTATTACATATAACATGCACATTATTTATTGAATTGTTAATACTTTGCTTTCCTTAGCACGTTTTTCTTAACGTTGATTTTTTATTTTTGTGAAATAATTTGGCTCATCTTGAGGCATGCAGCTTTAAAAAAGATCATTTCTGTGAGGGTGATAAAACTGCAAGTTATCAAAAGGTTAACTGAATTGAAAAATGGAATTTTGTGTTAACTTGCATGTAGTCGTTTAAAATTATCAAAATCTATTCACCTGTTCCTTTTTATTTGCTTATCTAAAACAATCACATTATATATTTGTAAATGCATATTCAACCGGTGTCATAATTGTATAATGTAACTTATTAATTCAACAATAATTATATTTTCAAATGCTTAAATGTTTTAAATTGACGTTTATCTAGCGACTGCATATAACTTGGTCAATCTTGGAAACCAATGTAAATTTTCTAAGGTGGATATTAAGTTAAACGTATACATTTTCCTCAGCTAAAACTGTTTGGAATTATCAGTTGGAAGGTAACAAATCAGGAAAGCATACCTTTTCAAGTCAAAGTAACAGTCTATCTGATCTTGATGTTCCATATCTGGGAGCAGAGGTATATCCCTGTGTTTTAAAGGTAAGATGTCGTTCATATCTTAATGAATATATCATTTTGCACATTTTAACCAAGAACGGCCTTTTTTATATATAATTACGTGTATAATAAACGTTCACCGCCTGACTGTATAGACAGGAATATTAAACTTTATTGTAAGTGTTTTCGGTGTCAACGAGGATATGTTGATGGTTGACTAAACAGAAACGTAACAGCCAGATAATGCGACAGGTATATAAAATGTAATGTCATTCATACCTGCTTCAATAACGGTCTTACTTAAACACAAAACTTCAAATGAATTCTATGAAGAAAAAATAAGAAACTAACTAAATCAATTCGATTTCAAAATTGCTCCTGATACATAATTTGATTTTTTGTTTATTTGTTTGTTTCATTTTACGCATTTTCCCAACAGTAGTTCAGTAATATAGGCGGGTTGTTTTCTAACCATCATTCCTGGAGAGTTACACTAGTACTAGACTACCTTCCTCCAAACTAAACTACCAAAGCAACTCCCGGCCTGGACGAAATATAATAATGTCTTATGTCCAAGCCCTAGCCAAATCGTTTGGAATCATGTGTCTAAATAATACTCAAATAAAACGGATTATTTTTTTCCATTTGTTTTTGCTACAAAAGTGGATACTGTCTATAGTTGAATTAATATTCCGGAACAAATTATTGACAAAATTGACAGAAAAATCTTATTTCGTCAGCTTGAAATCATTTTTTTAATTTCTTCATGGAAAATGAAGGTAAACGGCTTATGTGGCTTTGAGAATAGTATTTTGAAATGAGTAATTTTATGACCATATTTTACGGTGATATTTTTGTTTAGGTAAAAACCGATTGCACGTTCAACTTTCGTGAAGCATCCCTAATTGACAATTTCAAAACTGACTTTGCATATCCGTTTTGTGAGTGCACAATAGGAACATACAAATATGATTTTCTAAGGTATGTGCTGACGTTACTTTTACCTTTACATTATTATACATTGATGATCTGTATTTAAATTTTAAGATATAGTTTTAATATGGTTTAATTATTTTGCTGATGCAGAATGTGTTGAAAGCAACTTCTTAAGTAAAACAGATGTTTCGTAATGACACAGAACTTAATTAAAGAATATTAAACTATTATCATGAAATACACATTGATAAAACATGTCCACAGTATTGATTTCATTATCTTACGGTCAAAGGTTAAGGAAACATGCTAACAAATTCTGAATGATTGATTCTATTTGAAACACTTTAAAACACTTAAAATTGCTGTTGACAGTAGACATTACCCACATAGAACGTCATGTTTAACTGTTGCATTGTAGTTATTGATGAGTCAGTTAAGGGTGTGACTATCGAATTAATTTTTCTCCCGTATGCTTATGTTATAAGAAATGACCCCTAAGTATCGTTTTTTTCAGAACTTTACAATAACTTTTAACTTGGCATGTGTGTAGCATCAGTACTGGAAGCAATTGTCAAAGACCAGGTTAATATCTGCATCATCCATTTTGACTGAATAATGGCCTTTTATGAAACAATAACATAGCTAGCATTAGGTTCATAATACACATATTTACTCAGCAATTTACCCTCTAAATTTAAACAATATGTATGCCAGTTTATACAGTTTTGAATTAATTATCTAGAGATTTTGATCGAAACAAGCACTATAGTTTTACAATTTACAAGTATCATTACTAACTTGCAAAACAAACAAACCACAAACAATTAAGCGTTACCTCTTACCAAGTGAACTTGTCTCCTTCCCAAATTAGTGTCAAACTTTATTTGTCATCCAATGAAAACGCTGTATTTTAATAAAATTCTGTGCGTTAATTTTCATAGAAGAACAAAAACCGATACTATATCGAAGTCCTTTTATAGTCGACTTCTATTTTTCATAGTACTTCATAGAACGGCATAGTGACGTAATAAAGTGAGTGATTATGAGGCTCAATAAAGTTTGATACTAAATATGTTAGTATTCATCCGTGCTGTTCTACAGAAATTAGAAACATTCTCCTGTCGCTATCGCTCCCGTCGAAGTTTCTAATTTCTGTAGAACAGCACGGATGAACACTAACATATACTTATAATTCTCAAAAGTGTAGTATGTACAAACATGATCTCAAAATTATCAAATGCTCAATCGTATATATAATGTATGAATACCTGTAACTGTCATCATTTATATCTATAAAAATCCTTATAAACGTCTTAAAATTTGAAATAAAGCTTGCTTTTAGTGCAGTTCGATAAAAAGAAAATAGAAGTTATAATTCTTTAAACCCTATTTTAGTTATGTTGGTTCAAGGGGAGACATATTCTATTTTTGGCCTTATTGAAAAAAATGAAATGTTGAATATCTCATTACAATAAAAGACTTTGTTTGAATTCAGTGTTTACATATCATTAAATCAGATGGCCTAATCTACTCAGATGAAAATGATGTTCAAATTTGATGAGACATATTATGGTAAAATAAAAGGAAGTTTTCAAAATTAGCGATCAGTTGTTGTTCTAAATAATTGGGTAATCAGTACTGTAAGTGTGCTTGTTATTTGATGAATATTAAACATTATAGATTAGGTAGAATAAGGTAACTGTAACGTTTGTATTTGTCAAAGTGTATATTTCCAGAAAGTCAAATAAATTAAGACTGGGTTTTAATGATGATCTTGATAGTAATTACATGTAATTAACTTTTTTATCGAAATCTTTTTTTAACTTTATTGAGGCTTGATAGAACGTGGGACTTCCTGTGTAAATTGTTTGAAAATAAGTTTTGTGATTGAGAAAGACGTTCCATTTGTGTTAAAATGATAAAAATGACTGATTGAGAGTTGACAGGGGCAGGAGCAAGGCAGCAATCAATTTTCTGTTCAACTTACGATAAAATAAATTCACCTCTCGAGGTGAATTAATTTTGCTGTTAAATCTTTGTTAAAGCTGATGTTTTAACAAAAAGATAACGCTATTTTTCTGAACAACTGATTTTTGTAACAAAGATATTAAACAAGAAATTTAACAACACTTTGTTAATTTAACAGACTTTAACGTTTACAATGACAGGATTGCTTAACAATAAAATTTAACGCAGAATTTAACATTATTTTTTGTTAATTTAACAATGATTTCATTGTTAATTATTTAACAAAAGTTTTGAACAAGTTGGCCATTAACTTTAAAAATTGTTATTATGTTTACCATTTGTTTGTGGGATGCGATAATTTTTCAATGCTCATTCACTTTGATAATTCTTGTAGGCTCTTAGAACTAGTATTACTTTAAATATTTTTATATTGATTTTATTTTGACACTTCCTCATAATGAGCAATTACGATTAATTATTGATAAAAACTAATTGTTTAAAGACAGTGGTACAGAAAAGGCATACAAAGATGAAGAAACGTCTTGTTCTTATATGCAGCAAGCCGTTTCCTTTTTACATATTTAATACGTTTGAATGATATACAATAAAAAAATTATTGGTCAAACGTTGAGTACAAGTGGAAGGTGAGCTATATAGAGTAATATTAAATAAACCGTTATTATAAATTCCAGCATGGAATTGCTGTCGGTGACGAGATGCGATGGAGGTGAAATCACCACGCGATTACACGTTGATGAAGAAAGTATTTATCCTGAATTCAAAATGATAAATTTTAATTATAACTTCGATGATTTCGAATCAACAAGTGAATTATTACACCAAACACAACTACCACCTTATTGCACTTACGGTAAAGAATCTTATTTAGACAGATATAGATGCGTTTCATATAGTTATGTTTCAAGACCTTTCACTATAACAGTTATTTTCACAATGCAAAGTTCAAGCATAACACAAAAACCTTGCTTTGTTTGGAATAACAACTTTACTAATTGTAAAAAAAGTCAGTGTATTATTTATCAAAACCATTATTATGATTAAGTGAAAAACGGTATGGTAGATTTGTTATAAAAAGCCCCCGGAACAATAAAAAGATACGTCAATTTAGAGTCAGAATGTCTATTTTGAGATACCTTTATAATTGAAAGGTGATGGTTAGGGGCTGCATGTATATAATAATTGAAATGTCATTTTAAAGGTACCTAAACGTGGTGTCATCTTGAACTATAAGTCATTAATGAAATCTGTTAAGCATTCAAATCATACAGTCAATTGCTTAACTACGAGTCACTTGTATACTAGATCGTCAAACCCCTGTTTGGTTACCACTAAATAAAATTGTCTTGTTTTACTGCAAGTGTGATATATGCACTGTAAATATATGGATACACACAATGCTGTGTATGTTATCAAGATATTACTGAAAGGACATTTCAACATATAGTACAGAAGTAATATTCTTCGAAGATATAAGTATCTTGTTTTGTTTTAAATTGTAGGTCCTTAATATCTTGATGATATTTTCTGCGTTTGTGTTCCATATAATGTTAAGATCTCCCGATTTTCTCTTTACTGTCCGGTCCGACTTGCTCATAAATGTTCACTGACATGCGCTTTCGAAATGAGCATCACGAGTAGGTAACTATTATGTACAGTAAAAGCAGATGATAAATCCAAATTAATAAATTCAATAACAAACGTATAATAACTTATAATAAATATAAACTGGTATCATCAACAATAGTACATGAAATAGCAAAATGTGTTTATACAAGAAAATGAAAACGATCAACTAAGAGAAAGTAAACATAATGTGAGACAGTATACATTTTAGTAACATATTTATAGTAGCATTGTATATTCATCTTGGTGATATGTAAAGTGTTTTTTTCTTTATTTCTTTTTACTAGACCCGTTTTTCGAATAGGACTTGAGTTACAATATCGCTGTTCTATTCTTTGTCGATGTGACGTAAAACACAATCCAACAACAAATCAAACAAACACTAATGCTGTTCATTTTTGTTATGTTTCCTTGTTTTTATTACTTACAAATGTATTTGTATCTATCTTTTCCTTAAGAGTACAATGTGACCGAAATTGGGGACTTCATCTTCTTTTGTGAAAGAGATGACAAGGTCATACCAAAGGCTATGATGTGTATTTATGCCGTAGATGCTAGCGGTTACATGACTGGATGCCGATCTGGAGACCATTTACAAAATTGCGGTAAAGAGATGTTTTATCTAGATTAGGAAAACACAACATGTTCTGTAACTTGAAACTTAAAATTTCTTTTTATACTAAGTCTTTATTGCATACAATTTTAATCTTTTTCTTATGGTATTAAACTGTTTACAAAACTATGCCAGTAGTAACTGATGTCGCCTTTGTATCTGAGGGGTTGTGTTTACGGGTTAAGGCATCATATTTGCAGTCACCGTTTAATCCTGAGTAATAGCGAAAAGCAATTAAATGGAATGTAATGACTGGAGTCTATGAATCTATTAGCTCTAGCAGTTGAGGTGGTTTTGACCCCTTGTGTTGCTTTAAGTTTGCAACACCCAAATTTAGCCAAAATCGACTTTCTTTTTTCGGCGACATAAGACCTAAATTGTGTTGGTGCGCCAAAAAGCCAAACGAAACAAACAAGTGTGATTGGAGTTATACCCAAGTTAGATTGCTGGTCCCTAATCGGTTATTCATTTTCAATTTACTTGTTGCTTTGGTAAGTAGTCATGCATTAATTTGTTTATTTTTGCTTTCTGTGTAAACGGCCATAGGTTTTGAACACGTTAAACCAACCGATGACACGATGGCGGCAATCGAATGGTGACATAATGAACGGTGTTTAATACGTTGTCATTGGATGACTCAATAATTTGGCCAAACAAACTACCATATAATTAAAGAAAAAAAGGTTTATCTTTTGGCAGTTTCTAATAAGTCACAAAATATATTTATTGTACTGATAATACGGCAAATTGCACTGCTGTCAATTCAGAGCAAACCAAAGATTATGTGAAAAACTCAACCCAATTCCAACTTAAACTGGGTGCGAACAATAATATATAGCCACCTCAGTCCTGATTATCTACTACGTTTTAAATTTAATTATACATGTGATTTTCAGAAAATTTCAGTTGTCCTGTAAATACAGTTAAATGCCCAGGAAGTTATTGTATTGAACAACGATTTTTGTGTGATGGACACATTGAATGTCCTAAAGGAGAGGATGAAAAAGATTGTAGTAAGTGATTAAGATATGTACATTTGTTTTCACTTGTGATGTGTGGCAGTCGTGTACGATTATTTTGATTAACGGCCTTTTATTCATTGAGCGTTCAGGAATAGTTGTTACACTGCAAATGTGTTTTTCCCAAACTAATCATCTAGAACAAGCATACTTTTATCAGTATTGTTTGGCAATATCTACCTGAAACTCTGGAAATTTTCGTTAGTTTCCGTACTTTGTTTTGATAAACGTTGAGGAGCTTTTATCATACTATAGATTTTGATACATAAATAACTTAACATTGCTCAATGACCTAGTACTAAAAATGACGGAATTGTGACCATGTAATTTTTGCACAATTATTCGAACCTTAGACAAACCATTTTTTCGATTTTCATAACTGCATTTTATTGCTATTTATAGCATAATATATGTGTTGACTAAATATGTGCGCTTAATTTGCACGTTTTGTTTTGATTTCATCATTTTTATAAACACGTATGTTTTAAAACGCATAAATAATTCATTTGATTCGAACCTTATCTGACCTTGTCACCGAGGTAGTAAGTCATTAGTTATGCAGGTAATTTTAAGTTATATAATATACCGCTGTACTATACATCAAACCCATATGGTTTACTTCAAAATCCGATAATTAACGACAAAAGGTTATTGAATATTCAAATGGCTCAGGATAATATTGCCAAGCAATATATAGTCGTTCACATTTGATAAGTCGACCTGTTGCTCTTATTTTCGAAGCTGTAGCTGTACAGGTTTGTTTGTATAGCCGGATAAACTCTTAAAAATACTCTTAGTCCCGGAGTCAGTTCCAGAACTATCCTTACCCTACATTAATACTTCCTGTTCTTTCTGAACAACTTAAAGCTATAAGATGCTCATTATTCAGTAAACTATTTAACCCTCAGAAAGATATTGAAATCTATAAAATGCATACTGAATATGTCTAATTTGAATTAAAGAATGATTAAAAGTACGCATGGGAGGCTACGGGACAAGTAAAATCGGTCAATTCATAAGAAAAAACTGTCATTTTATTAATGACACTATATATTTATATTGTGACCACCCATAGTGCGTAGAATTTCAAAGATAACATATTTAATTTATGTGAAGTTAACACATGTTTATTATATAGTTTACAAAATACTCTGTAGCAATTATCAATATTTTCTTATATCAAATTTGAGCATAGTTTATTTTTAAATTAAAGCTGAAGAACAACATAATTATTTGGGTTTACAACATAGCAATTCTATGGCATTTATGATAAAAAAAGCTTATCTGATTACGTATAAACCATTTTCGAGCATTGAATCTGGTAATACTTCATTTGTACAAAAGTCAACCCGCCTCGCTCAAAAAGGACGGTATCAGATTCATAATATAGGTTTGCTGGCTCGATTCTCCGAGTTTTTGTCAGAGACCATTGATCTATGCCATTTATTTTAATAGTTATTTGTATCAAGAATCATGTGGTATTAGTAATCAGTCACTTGCAGAGCTGCATTATTGGCACTGGTAGTGCAATACGTATTGCAGTGATTTTGCAAGTACTGGTACTGATACTGAATTACTCTTACAAAATGTTGCTGCTTCTTATATTGGTACTGCATTACTGTCTTTAAAAGATGTACTGCTACTGTATTACCAGGCAGTACTTTGGTTTTGATAAAAAATGTCATCAGTTGTTCTCTTTGTGTTTACTAGTAAAAAATGAATGAGCAAGATCAACACTAATTAATTGCTTGTATACTAAATAATACTATTTCAAGTGATAATTTTGGCTCCATAAAACGTTATTTACTTTGGTATCAATTGAACAGAGTTGAAGTTTGAAAAGTAACATATGTCTGAAAGATGATTGCATTTCAGTTATACAGTTGACTGGTTACTAAACAATAATATATGTTGTAAATATTGTTTGTAAAAAGTATGTTAAATCAATAATGTTGTAAATAGAAATATAAAGGAAATAAGAATTCCATTTATTTTGCTGAATAATGTTTGCATTTTTTATTTGAAGTGTAAACATGTGAAATGGAAATAATTGTTTAAAAAACGTATCATTATAATTTGTAAATAAACATAATATGTTGTTTTTTTGTTTGACAGTAGGAATTTACTCCAACTATGATGAATTTATAAAAGTACTGTTACTGATTCATAATTACTTTCTTAAAAAAGTATCGAAACTGCAGTATCGTTCTAAAATCTTGTACTGGTACTGCATAACTTTGCAAGTACTGGTACTTAAGAACTACATCCTAAGTACTGATGCAGCTCTGGTCACTTGCGGGCAAAATTTGTAATTACTGGTGAGCTTTCCAGGAAAGTCAATTAATATGTGGATCTCTGCGGAGATATGATCACAAATTTATTAAATCTCGACATAAGGAACTAGAAAAAAATATCAATGATAAAAATTTAGATACACATGACAATGTGGATTTGTTAAGAAAATATCTTTTCAAACCTATATGAAACTAATAATTATTCTATTGAACTAAAAAGAAAAGGCAGTGTACCAACGGTGAAACATAATCATATCCTGAAACTACTTTCTACAAATGTTTTTGTTGTGATTCTTATTGTATTGAATTAATATAATATTGTCTGTTTGCAATGTTATCATTTTATAAGCCATAATATCAAACATAATAAAAGTTCACTCTATCATAATGGTTCTAAGTATGTTGTGTAAAAAAGAATAAACGCAAGTTTAAAGGGTGTGAAATAAAATTTGGCGCGAGCTAACTTTAAGAAGAATTATGGGCTATTTATGCTATACATGTTCCATCGGCTGTTTATCGGAATTTATATTTGAGCTTCGACACAAGTCTTTTATGATTCCATAAGTTCAGAGGTATTCCGACATATACAGAGCAATGTAATATACTTTTCTATTATTTCTTCAATAATACACTGTGACGAGTCTCATACGTTCCAGCAAAACCCATGAGAGAAATTACAAGTAATAAATCTGGATATATATCATTTCCCTTGTTGAAACTCCATATTCAACATTCTCTAAACTCAATATCCAACCAAAAACATTATTGATTAGCACCAACGACGTTATTTCGTTGGCAAAATTCTCTTTTGATTTAGTCACACTCTTAATCTCCGTGAGTACCGATTTCATACCTGCTCTAGATTTTTAGATTATATTCTCCATTTTTTTTATTTGATTTCTCATTCCAGCTTGTATAGACTCGGAAAGAGAAGTAATCTTATTTATTGAAGAGGATGACTCTGAGACCAGAGAAACAGCAATGCATTTAGCCAAACAATTCATTACAAGCAAAGAGAACAGTATCGTAAAATTGTTTTATTTTAAGAGTTTGCCCAGACCAATGGAATTTAACATTACATACAGGTTGATTAGAATAAGAGAAGAACATGTAAATCAAGAACGGGAAAGTAAATGCAAGTACAAAACAATGGCAAGAGACTTTCTTAAAAAACTGCAGTTTTCAAAAGCAGGAAAAAGAGGGATTATTGTGTTTGAGAATAGTAATGAATCATCAATTGTTGCCAACCTAGTATTGTCCAATATTTCAGAGCCAGCGTTTTCAATTTATCGCGTGATAAAAGATTTCAATTCTTCACTTTATAAAAATAACGTTTACAAATTTGTAAAAGATGTTCACATCAGTAAATGGAGTTCACTATTTTCGACTGGATTTAGACGATTTCCAGAAATATGTAAAGGTGAGGAATAATAAACATATTGACATTTAGAGATAGATGTATCTACAGTAGTAAGAGAATGCTGGTTAAATGACAAATTAATTAAATATGTACATCATGAATCGTTCAATAAATTAGTTTATATAGTGAAACAAATGCACTAAGAGGTATGTCAGGTTTTTTTCTTCAAAATTTTGACATTTAAATTTTTGAACGGGTTAATGTCCTTGTTGTTTGCCTTACTGGTTAAGTAAATCTTAGAATTCCGAAAATACAACTGTCATCTAAAATTTAAGCGGAGTTAAAAACAATAAAATATTTTTCATAAGATCTTATTAATGCAAGTGTTGATTATACTTAGAAAAGAATAATTACTATACCAAGTAAGCCAATCGTAATACCTAATCTGCTTACATTTCAGAGGCTTCATATCTACCATGTGCTGGGATGTTCAGATGTTCTTCTAGCAAGCAATGTTTACCACTTGAGCAAGTATGTGATGATGTAATACATTGCAGAAATGGTGATGATGAACGGCTTTGTGATTCTGTATGTCCTAGTCAATGTTCTTGCATTGCTGACGTAATCAATTGTAAGGCGGCCAACATTTCCATGGCTGAAATTTCGTCATTGTCGATGCAAACTAGGAGCGCTGATATAAGTAAAAATCCAAAGATAAAAAAAATAATCAGAACAAATTTAGGTTTTCCTTACATGTTACGACTTAATATGTCGTCATGTGATATTCATGACATTCATGAAAAGGCCTTTTTTGATTTGAAAAATCTATTATCACTTGATCTAAGCGACAATAGGATCAAGTTGCTACCCGATAAAGTATTTAGCAAGCTTCGTCAACTGACATACTTAAATCTTGATGGAAACAACGAATTGACAGAGATTTCACCGACGGCTTTTAAAGGTTTGAAAGCGATAAGAAGCTTGAAGATTTCAGGCACAAACTTAAAAAAGATTAGCTCGCAAACATTTTCTGACTTACAGTTGGACTCTTTAGATATCTCGCACAACAAAATTGAGGACATTGAAGACTATGCCTTCAACAATTCTATAGTGCATAAAATTAATTTTGAAGGCAATAGAGTGATTAAATTCGGAAAATTTATGTTCAACGGCGTTTCATCACTTCGGGATCTTCGAACGCCTGCATTTAAATTCTGTTGTATCCGCCCTTGTTATGTTTCTGAAGAAGATTGCAAGCCATTAAAGAATGAATTTTCTTCATGTGAAGATCTGATGAGAAATTCTGTCCTTCAAGCAGTTCTTTGGATAGTAGGGGTAGCTTCATTGTGCGGAAATCTCTCATCAATCATATACCGTCTTGTCTATGATCGTGAAAGGCTAAAAATAGGATACGGAATATTTGTAACTAACCTTGCCTTTGCCGATTTTCTGATGGGTGTATACTTAATAACGATAGCAGTGGCTGATTCACTTTACAGAAACAGGTACTGATTCATTACTGATTCACTCTACAGAAACAGATGGCAATGTTCTATTTGTCTAGTACATAAACAAGGTTATATCTGAACTGTTCCTTGATTCATCAGAACAAAATAACTTAACATTGTAAATTTGTACTGGTTTCTACTGATGCACAAAATAGTAGAGGCGATCTTTTGTAATAATCCTGTGTCCGTTATATGTGGCTCGTCATATATATTTATCTGAAACATCTTCTTCATAACCACTTGGCCGAATGTAATGAAACTACACAGGAATGATTCTTAGGTAGTCTTCTATAAAATGATCAGACGATTCCATTTTGCTTAATTAAATCTTTAATAGAAACACTTCTTAACGATCCGGTAGATTGTAATGAAACCCTTCAGGAATGACCATTAAGTAATCAGTCCTTTACAAAGATTACTCAAATCGTTCTGCACTGTTGAAAAAGATAACCACAAATATAAAGCAAGCCCTAAATGATATATTTTGGCCAATAGTACTAAAACTATATAGGTAGATCCTTAAGTAGTCCAATGCTTAAGTCGTCCAGGTCGTTACGTCCGCTAAAGGGGATTATAAAATAGGAAAATGTGGCTTTGTAGCTCTCCTAGTAGTTGCTTGGCCAAACATGATGAACACGTACAGGAATGATCCTTAACATAATTAAGTAAATTGTATTAATCTGCTATACAAGATGACGGCCAGAGCTGAAAAAAAAGAAATATTTAAACGACGCATCAGGAAATACAAATCACTTTAAATGACATCAAAAAGAGTTATTTGTACCACACATGAATTTCCTATACCAAATGAGGTATTGCTTTGAAACTTTGAATACTTATTTGTGACCATCATCCCACTTCAAGGCAAATACTCATAGTCTCAGGCGCTCATTATCCTTTTAATATTTTGGTGTCAATATTCTCTTGATGTATATATCAATTCTTTTTCATTCGATCATTTTTAGAATAAATTTGCATTGCCGTATCAAAGGAAATGGATAAGTAGAAGAATAAGATAAAAACTTTAATTACAAGAAGGCTGACCAAATGTTTCTTAATTGTTGATTATATGATTCCGGTTTTTTTCAGATACATATTTATGGATGATCAATGGAGAAGCAGTAATTGGTGTGTTTCTGCTGGGGTTCTTTCTACAATTTCATCTGAAGCAAGCGTTTTCTTTCTTTGCTTGATAACATTGGACAGACTTTTAGTGATCAAGTTTCCATTTGGCACAGTAAGGTTTGGTCCTATGAAGGCGTACATTTGCTGCGGAATTTGCTGGCTAATTTCCATAATCCTATCAATCATTCCAGTTTTTTACACAAGTCACTTCCAAAACAAATTCTACGCTAAAACAGGAGTATGCATTGCATTGCCTCTTACTAGAGATAAACCCCCAGGTTGGATTTATTCTGTGTCAATCTTCGTTGGCTTGAATTTCTGCACTTTTATTCTTGTCGCTGCGGGACAAATTTCCATATTTTCAGAACTTCGACGAGCAACATCAAGTATGCAGAAGACACAGAAATCTAGGAAACGTGATTTGAAAGTTGCGAGGAATCTTATCCTCGTCGCAACGACTGACTTCCTATGTTGGTTTCCGATAGGAGTGATGGGTAAGGTCTCGAGCAAACCTGAGGTTGATAACCTTTCTATGTTATGCCTGCATTATATTAAGTACATGTAAATGAAAATTACTAACTTTCTTTTACACTCTAGGATGTTGCGGTTTTCAATGAAATACACAATAATTGTTTCTATATCCTTAATCTGTTTCTATTCTATTGTTCAAGTTAAAAAATGAATGTCTTTGGTTTAAAACCTGTAAAAGAATTTTCTAATTGAAAGACTAAATCTAAAAATTTTTGAAAACGGTCAAATTAAATAAAACAATGTCAATTATTTACAAATCGTCGTTTCAGGTATTTTGGCATTAAATGGATTTCCGATTCCAGGGGATGTTTATGCATGGTCAGCCGTTTTTATATTACCTATTAACTCTGCCCTAAATCCGTTTTTGTACACGGTGACAGCAATAATAGGGAAGAAGGTAATCATATAACTTTGACTAAATCACTTTAGTCTCCTTGAATAATACGTTGAATTAAATAGTTATGAGAACGTTACGCGCATCTTTGTTTTGTGACATGGGATGTTAAAGATCTAATATTTTTGCAGGTAGCTAGAAAACTATCCGTTTCAAAATCAAGTTTTCCTCTTTTAATTGTAGAGTTTTAACCCAAGCCTTGATGAGCAAAGCAGAACGGTGGTCCAGAGAGGCAAGTACTTAAAATCAGTTTCAATTTTGTGATTCTATTTTCAGCAAAATTGTATGATATAGCTAATAAAAGCAATTATAGTAAATCAGTGTATAAATTAATGACGAGAATGAGCAGACGTTACATTGTATAATTATAGTTATTGTTTGTCACTAAATTTTCACAGTAGTAAATCTTTTAGAAACAATTAATACAATTGTAAACCATTAACGATAAGACTTCTTATAAATACGACACGCTGTTTGATATAATACGATGATTTACATACAACATAATTATGCCAATACTTTTATCGTATTATCACGTTATTGGTGCTTATGTTAATTTTATGCTGTTTGCAGTGTTTGTAAAGATAAAAACAAATAAAAAAAATGAAAGCATTATGTACGGGATTCTCAAATGATTTATAACACTACTCCGATTTCTTGATTTTGGCAAAAATCAATGACTAGAAAGTTTGTTTGATTATTCTGGTTTTACGTCAATTTTATCGTATAACTATAGGTCAAAGCAAGGCGGTCGATCCAAGTGACAGGCTTCAGTGGTACTTACTAGTTATTACTAATTTCTCCGAAGTCAACGGCTATTAATCCCACATGATGTCTTAATCAGTCGTTACGATGATCGAACCGGCAACCCCTTGATTATCTATCCAATGCTCCCAATTAAGCTAAGCGGGCGTATAGTCTAATATTACATGCTTTTGATTCAGAAATTGGCACGGCCATTCTAGAATACCAGGAATTTAGTAGCTCCGTGCGGATGAAACGTGAACTTGTACCAGTTGGGACGATGCGCAGTATACAAGACTTTCTTGATGACAAGAGATTTTTGTCTGTTAATATCGTTACAACTGTATCCAAACAACTTGCCGATTATCTGCGCCTATTACATGAGTCGTTCCTTGCCATTGACCAGATAAGCGAGACAAATATTTACATTAAAGTTGATAAAACAAAGGTACTCATTAACCTATTCTATACTTATATAAAAACTCTAGTTATCTGGAATATCAATTGTGCAAAAATCATTATATAAAATAAACTGTTTTCTGTGGTTTGTAATGTCAAAACCTTTAGATAAGTACATGTGAATACTAAAAGAAAAGATGTTATCCAGAACTCGGCAAAAGGTGTTTGATCCAAGCTTATCCGTAGGCACAAACAAATTGTTACCGTTAAAAGTTATATATATATGGAGGTTGAATACATGATCCGAAATTACATATATTTATAAAGCAGATATAAAATGTTCTAAAAAACTATAATTATTCATTATATAAATGTTTATATTATGTGAAAGTTGGTTGTTCTAAATACAAACAAATAATTCTGAGGATGTCACAAAATATATTTATTGCTTGCAGGTTCGCTTCAATTCAATTGTTGTAATAAAAAAGTACTTCCTATCTAAATACATGTACCATGTACATAATATATTGTTCAATAAAATGACCCGCATTAAATTACCGCTGCCGTAAAATACCAATTATACCGGTAACCATGACAGATATGCCTTTTCATTGCAAATTTCCCCATCCAAACATGTCAGCAAGTTTTTGCTACTTCGCTTTAAGTAAACTTCGGATATAACGAACGATATTTAAATGTCCCATTGAGTTCGTTCGTTCGGCTTTTGGTGGTGTTATCCACTTTAATATCAAACAAACTTAAACGACCACTATGCCCAAGAAATGCTATATAAAACTTTTTATTGTGTGTTGTCCTAGTAGTTTCTAGTAGGCTAATCATTTGCTAATGATCTAAATCATCTTTTGCTTCTGTTGCCATTTGGCAATTAGTTCAGTTATAGTGATTTACCATTTTGTATTGAAGTCTAAATACGACTATTTACATATTGATACAGTATTATGACAAATAATTGCACATTCAGCGTTACTTTCGACAGGTGATAGGCATCAAACATACACCTCAATCATTATTCAAACGTTATATTACTCATATTTGCATTTTCTAAAGACAAATTTATTCTTTCTAAGGAAAAATGTGTCATTTATACGTATAAAGCTTCTTCAATCTGAATTTATATTTTTTGTTCTCTTTTTATTCAAAGCCCAACAAACCAATTGTTGTTATCGATGCAAAGCTATCGTCAGCTGCTGATGAAAGTGCCTTACAGGAAAACATCCGCCAATTCGGAAACCTCCTTCGAAAACTTATTTCAAAATGTGATAAACGTATGAAATAATGTGTGGTATACAAATGACAGTATACAAAAATGTTTAGATATATTGCCTTGATGCAACATTTTATGTGAAAATGTTTTTTTATCTTGTTACTTTGTTGTAAAGATTTTTTAAAAAAAATATAAATTACTTTTTTTCCCATAGCTTTTGTGAAAACGAGTTTGAAAAACTATTTGGTATAAAAGGTTATTTGAATACATATATTGCATTCGTACCTAGCTTATATAAAAAGCAATAGCAGTTAAATTGTATTTTTTATCTTGTTATTTTTGATGTGTAAATATTTGTGAACTTACTCTGACGTGTGTGTTTTTTCTTAAAACTGTAAACATATAGGAATTAGTTTAAATTTTAATAAATGTAATACTGTCGTGAACTCATTGTTTGTTTCATAAATATTGTCAATCATGCTTTGTCATTAATCGTTTAACATGTAATGTTGTTAACAGTGTTGTTTTCAAAATGATACATTGTTTATGAATATATTTTGAGAGAGTTTCTGGATTGGTGATCCTCACAAACAAAAAATGTTATTGGTTAGAATCCTACACGGTTCAAAACAATTTTGTCCTCATATGACGAAAACACGGGTTAGGTCAAGGAGCCGACTCTAGAGCGGTTTTGAAACGCTTCAAGATTTCACTTCCAATTCAATGAGCTGAACGAATTACGTTTATATACATTCTGTTACAAATATGTAATGTACTTTTAAACAATGAACTATTGTAAAAGTTTAAGGTAACACAATCTGTTGATTGTTCTAAATTCAAAATGTCATGATTATTATATTATTGTATTATATTATTGTATTTTGAATAAACCTTTGCTATTGTGAGTGTACAGTAACTTGGACTTACCAGCTTGACCATGAACAGGGTCAGTTAAACCTGCAACATTTTTGTTTTAGCCGTTTTGGGCGTTCTAAACATTTCTTTTTTCACCTTTTTCTGATTGGTGTCAGAGAACATAAATATTGATGAAACGTTAGTATGGTACTTATGATGACGAGATGATATGTTTGACAGTCCACGGATGTTTTTGTTACTTGTTTTTGTCAAATTTGATCATTATTGTTTAGCTCACCTGTCACAAAGTGTCATGGTGATCTTATGTGATCGCAATTCATCTGGCGTCCGTAGTTCGTTCGTAAGAGACATCATCTACTCATTAGATGAGCCAATTTCTTACAAACTTTACACGAATAGTCATTGGGTGGTCACCTTTGACAAGAAATTAAATCCGATGAAAAACTCTGATTGTCATGTCAACCAAAAACTTCTTTTAAAAATCTTCTATTGAATTTCATAGCAGGCAAACCATTTATTTTGTACAGCAAACAGTGCCATCTTATGGAACTGTTGTTTTCCTTAGCAATAGCAACCAGTAAAGTTTTTACACAAGCACTAGTTTAGATACATAAAAGAACTTTTTGATACCAGTTTAAAATTTAGATTTTACATCATTTATAGTTTACAATATCACTTGTTCCATGTCATGGGGAATATTTATATTCAGATGAGCGATATTAGGGTCATCATGGCTGTCTTGTTTTTTTTTTACTTAAGATTAGCAATAATTTGTTGTATTTGTATAATAAATGTTTAGTATCAATAAAGTGTTTGTAATTGTTATCTTTTAAATACGACAAATAATTATTTTTATTTGACTGTTTAAATAAAGAACGGGGTGTTTAATTGGTTGGCCCATGGCGGGCAGCTTCAAATCATTGTATAGTTTTATGCATAATTTTTGAATCAGCTGTGAGAGACAAATATCTTTTGGACACTATATTTGTGATCAGTTGTCTTGGATAAATTTCGCGTGTAGTCCCTTTAATGTTTTACATTGTATCGCATAGTGTCGGGTGCAAACTTCACAGTCCTTCAAGGGCAAGGTCACATTATGATTTCAAAGCTAGAATTAAGATAATAAAAAA